GTCAAGTCCAAGGCACACTCATTGAGGTTGTCTATATGTACTCTTGAGAGGCTACTTAGTCTTTCACCACCTTAGCTTTGGCGTCCTGTATCTTTTACACATGCTCAATTGATCATCTTTCCTACTTAACCAGAAGCTTGTCGAACATCTTTTGGGCCTCAAATGCTCTCTTCTCTGCTTTGGATTCTCTTTTCACTTCCCAGCTACTTGGTCCTCAGTAGCCTTTCTTAGCCGTATGCCCTAAAACCAATTGTGTGACACTAGAGAGGGGCAATTCTGTACTATTCAAATTTATCAATTAAAAGGGCATTTTTCTCATTCATATATATTTGCAATTTTTAGTTTCATATTAATTAGGCCATAGTTTCTTTGTTAAGTAAACATATTACTAAATAAGTTAGAAAATTTGAGACATGTTTCCACTAACACAAAGATCCTATATATGGTTTCTAGTTATAGGACTATCAAGAGAGCTTTGACAGTTCGGATAGATTAGCATGTATTGTGCTTGCCTTATAGAGTGATGAATCTTATGCCACTTATGTAGAGATACTAAAGCAAATATGTGGGTCCTTGGTAGAGAATAGGTTCACTGAACATGACCCATAATAGAATAATTACACGGAGTTACTGGTTAATAATTGCTTCTAACATCCTAGTTATATATACAAATAATCCTCAAACTTGAGGTGTCATGGATATCTTGTGTGGCCATAGTGTCTTATACATGGAGGAATGTGAATGCACAACATGTAATCTATGACAATCCATGAGGAGAGAGAATGTCCTAATGGTTGAAGTTGATGAGACTCAAGATGTCTTTGGCCAAGACGGAAAGTTATATGGAAAGATTTCCAAGTGTCACCATATGAATCACCATTAGGTTGGTGGTATATGGCTAAGCCAGTAGGGCTTGACTTATTCACCATGATTCTTTGCTCTCTCGAGACATTATATGATAGAAGGATTTAATTATATGGTATTTAGAAGCAGAAAGGTGGTTCAATACTAAATTTAAGCTATTAGGATAGCCATGGCATACTACCAGGTGTCGCTCATGGTTTCTRAAACCCCTCGTGAATATTAGTTGATTATTCACATTCAAGGGAGAATTAGAAGAGGTTTAATTTAATTCAACTAGAAAGACTTCTATCTATGATGTTGAAGGAGACCAACATCATTTGCCACTGCCAATAGCATTGAACCTAAGAAGTCACACACATCAAGCGGCAAAACACACACAAAGTATGGAGGAGGGTGTTTTCACTAAGAAGAGTTTTAGGAGGATTTATTGGATAGATCCTTTCCTAATTAGAAAAGGAGTGAAAACCATATAATATATAAAAAGGGGCGTCCCTAGGGTTACAAAATGCACTCTTTCCATAAAACCCTATCTACCAAAATATTGCTAGCACAATCTTGGAACCACCCAATAATCCTCTTTCTCCCTCTCCTCTTCTCTTGTATCATGATGATCTACATAGAGAATTGGCAACTTTAACTGATGTTGCTTCATGTGGATCAATATTGGAGGCCAAACAATTATGAGGCTACAGTTGTGATCAGTTTCTTAAGGAACTGCTACATTAAACCGAATCTACATAAAGGTATGCAGTTATGTTACATAATCAGGGTTTTGTGTAGCTCCATGGGTGTGATCTTGATTATTCAAGACTCTTTGATTTTTAATTTCTACTGCATTATGATAACAAGGATTCACTAGAATCTTTCATCCTTTGTCTTCCCCTTGGATTCTTCCAACCCAGACTAAAAGGATTCCAACTTTAGCTTCTAACTTGGCCTTTTGCCTCAGTAATAGTTTTGAGCTCAACAATTCTTTTTTCCTCCTGCTTCATCAGATGCTCAAGCTCTATCACTTAATCATCGAAACGATCTATAAGGCTATTCACTAAGGTGTTCCCTTGTTGAAAGAAACTTAGAACAAATAAAGAACTCTCATGCAAGGAAAGCAAATTCAGATTAGGTGGCGTTTTGGACCACCACCTTAGATCTTAGAGAAAATGGTCAATTCCTCTAGACGATGGTCTAAACTGCCACCTTAGATCTCTCCTAACCATCGGTTTAGGTTTTGTCAAAAATGCTCTAATTCTCCAGGTTGTGCTCTAAACCACTAGCTTTGATCCTATCGGACCGCTACATTAGGCTTTGCTCAACATCTCCCGCTTGATTAGGCGGTGATATGACCTGTCGACTTAGATTCAGATGACCGTTGCCTTAGGTCTTGTTTTTGGCTAATTCGGCAATTAGATGATCAGCGGCTATATAGATTTTTATGCCAAGTTAATTCAAACATTTTTTGGTACCTACACTTTGATTGATTCATCACTTTAATACAAATGTCATGACAATACATGAAACCTAAGCAACTTAAATAAAAATTCAATTTAAAACAAAATCTATTAATTGAAAGATTAATTATTATAATATCCAAAACAAATTATTCAAATAAAATATCCAATTGACATATAAAAATTATAAGGACTTCAAAAAAGTTCAATTTATCAAATAATGTAGCACATCTTCCAATGAAAATTCACTTAGCATAATGGTTTAACTTGTAAATCATAACATATAAATTGTTAGAGATTGTAAAGTAAATGATATATCAATAAAAAAAATGTATAAAAATAAGACATTGAGGGAGGTGATCATGATTGAAATTTAAGGAAAAAAGTAATTCCTAGAATGCATATATAAATTTTCAACCAAAAAATAATAATAATTTATTTGTAAATTTGGTAGGTAAAATCAAAACCTAAACCCATATTGACCAACCCAATATGGAGATTGTAGTGGGTTAGGATTGAGAACAATGGATTGAAGTTCAATTAGGGTTAGGGTTGGGGTTTCAACACATTAGATTGGGCTAGGATTGACCTCAACCCAAGACTACCTGGTCCAATTTGTACCTCTAGTAGGAAAGAAGCATACCTAAAGGCATGGTCTGATATCTTGTTTCAGCATTGATTTCAAGTAGGCCAGCCTCATCTTCATTGCTTGTTGCTCCCCGATGTACATCTAACAGCCCACCTCTTTAAGCTCAAAGGCATCATAATTTAGCATTCTCATATCAATAAATGAAAACCCCAAAAAGAAATGCAGGAAAGTAGTGTATGAGCATAAAAATCGTCTGCTTTGGGATATGTTGTAATTTTACCATTCTTTTTGGGGAGAGTTAAGAGAGTTTACCCCTCCATGCTTCTGTATCTGTTTCACATCTTTTTTTCATTAATGAAATGGTTTTGTTATTGATCAAAAACTGGGACAACAGAACACCACAATGGAGTTAAAAGGGAGGACATGGAGGAACAAAAACAAGGGCAGAGTAGGATAAGTTTACTACTTCTCACACCCTCTCACAACTGGTCCAAGAGAGAAGTTGAATCTCCTTGATCCTTATTGTGACTTTCATGGTGTGTGTGTGTGTGTGACTTTCTGGTGGTATGGGTGGGCTTGTGTGGCTTATTAACTCCTCTTGTTTTCTGAACTGCCTTCTGCACTAGCTACTTACACAGTCAGTTTCATTACATCTCTTTTAATGAAGCAAAATGGAAAGATAGTTTCGATTCATTGATTATAAAATTAAAGGAGTTTGGAATATGAATCCAACTAGGTTCAGGTAAAGCCAAGTAGTAGAATGACAACCTATCACAGGTTAGAATATGATGTATGTCACTACTAAATCATCATGTCATTAAGCATTTAAAGTGTTTTATGTAGATATTAAGTACCGATTTCATTTTCTTGCTGAGTGATGGACCAGCTAGTGGTCTGAGTTGAGATCTCCAACAGAGATACCACTAGAGGCTTCTGAAGTGAGAAAYCCAAGAATTAATCATACAGAAAATATGTGTTTCCAAGTCTTAATAGGAACTGACTTTGTAATCAAATATTCTTCTGTTTCTTCGTGACTAACTGTCCTCCAAAAGATTACATTATGCTTGACTATAATTTTGAAAACCAAGGAGAAACAAAAATGTAATCCACTTCACAATACCTCTCTTTCATTTTCTTCCTTTATTTCAGATTTTTGAGAAGGTAAATGAAATTGTATCAGTGATATTAGAAAATACTCTAATAGCCAATGATCATAGTGGAAAAGAAATTTTGTTAATTATCAGAGATTATAAGCAGTAAATATTATGAATTTGTTTCATCTTTCACAAATTCCTTTTACAGACAACATGTATTAGAGTAAGTTTAAAAAAAATATGTCTGCTTTAGATGAATTTCCACCATTAACAATTAAGAGAAAATCAGTCCCTTATTAATCTTTTGCTTTCAAAAACAGTAAAATCAGACAAGTATATATATATATATATAGAAAATACAATGAAATAAAAATTAAATAAATCAGGAAAATAAAAATCTTTTAATTTGGGTTTTTGGCCTACTTCATAACAATAAAAATTACAATTTTGTTTTTTTTAATAAATAACAGAAAATCATACAAATTTATAATTAATATAGCTGTTGAAAGAAGAAAGTACAAAATGGTGGCCGGTAGACGATTAGTCCCCATCTGCTGCACTTTTTCGGACAACTGCACTCAGCAATCAGTGTTGGAAGGTGTTCCATTTATCCATTGTAGTTGAAATTCACAACTTCACACTCAAATCGAACACTTGTGTCACAGATTGCTTAGAGAAGCACGTTCTTTAATACATTTGACAGAGCAACTGAGTAATTAGATTTAAGATGAAGTCCTAGAAATTTGGTAGACTGATTGATTAATGCAGCGAATGAGATATAGAGCGACACAGTCATCGACTGGTGTGGGTTGCACTTTACATTCATGGCATCATCCTCGTCGGGAATTGAGATATCTTACTGTCGAGATCATGACGGATTTGCTCATGGGAAAGCTGGATTTCTGATTACGAGAAGCTGGATTAATCTACAGAGCAAAGGTTGGCTTATAAATAGAGCTCTACTCACTGCTTCACAGCAGCCCAACCGTAGAAGAAAGCTAACCAAAAATGTTGAGCATCAAGAGTTCTTACACCGTTAAGCCGGCTTCTCCAACCCCCAACTGCCGGCTCTGGTTATCGGACTCCGATCAGCTCGAACCCTATACCCATGCACCCACCATCTACTTTTACCGATCACCCATCGGCGTTTCACCGTCCTCGGCGGTTGAAACCATGAGAAGCTCTTTAAGCCAAGCGCTGGTGCAATTCTATCCATTAGCAGGCCGTCTGCAGTGGATTGATGGAACTCGGCTTGAACTCGATTGCAACGCCATGGGGGTAGAGCTCCTTGAGGCTGAGTCAGAAAACAGAATCGATGACTTCGGCGACTTCCGGCCAACCCCAGAGATCAGACAACTCATCCCTCGGGTTGATTACGGTCTTCCCATTAACGAGATCCCGCTGTTACTGGTGCAACTCACCAGCTTTCCCTGTGGTGGCATTAGCATTGGGGTAGCTATATCACACAGCGTCGTGGATGGAAAATCCGCCATTAATTTTATCGGTGCCTGGACCAAGATTGCCCGGGGTGAGAAACCGGATCCGACCCCACCATTCCTTGATCGGACGGTTCTACAAGCGAGTGGACCTGTTGTGGCCCCACGCTTTGATCACGTGGAATTCGATTCTCTACCCCACTTGATTGGCCGACCGGACGATAAGGAAGAGAGAGCGAAGGAAACAACGGTGGAGATGTTCAAGCTGACGAAAGAGCAAGTGGAGAAGCTGAAGAGCAAAGCTAACGAGGGTCGAACCAAAGATTCCGGTCGAGCCTACACTCGATACGAAGCCATTGCTGGGCACGTGTGGAGATGCGCGTGTAAAGCACGCGCGCACGAGAGGGAGCAATTAACGAAGGTGCGCATCATAGTTGATTGTCGCAACCGGTTGAATCCTCCCCTCCCGCAAGGGTATTTTGGGAATGCAATTKTTCCGACGATCGCCACCGCTCGATCTGGTGACTTGATGGATCAGCCATTGGGTTACGCAGCAGGCAAGATCAGAGAGGCAGTGGTGAAGATGACGGATGAGTACGTGAGATCTGCCATTGATTTCCTGAGAAGTCAACCGGATCTGATGCGATTTAGGACTTCTTTCCATTCAGTGGGCTGCTCAGAGGGGGGTTTCTTTGGAAATCCAAATCTAACGATTACGAGCTGGCTGGGCTTGGCGATATACGAAGGAGACTTTGGGTGGGGAAGGCCCATATACATGGGCCCAGGATTAATTGCTTCAGACGGAAAGTGTAGCGTCCTGTCCGGTGGGGAAGATGGATCTCTGGCCATTCCGTTAGGATTGCAGGTGGCCCACGTGGATGCTTTTAAGGAATTGTTTTACGAGGATATTATGTAAGGGTGCAATGATATCTGGTCTGACATGGGTAGATATGTTTACAACTTTCAGAAGTAGAGAAGTCATGCTTCTTAAGGGCCCACTGTAGCCCATTTGAAATAATCGCAGTGCCAAGAAGTAGAACAGTCATGTTTATTGAGGGCCCATTAGGGCTCACTCAAAATAGTGTTAGCTTGTATAGGCTTTTTTCCTTGAATAATAAACATGGGCTTTGGGGATATTAGAAGTTCTAATTAGTTCTTAAAACAAAAACATAGAAAACAAGTTTTTGGTTATCGCTGTTTTTTGTTTCCAAAATTGAAGCTAAAAAAACATGTTTTTGAATTTCTTCTTTTTAGAATATGTTTTCTTATCGTTATTTGAAATTGTATGATTTATAAGCACAATTTGATAAATACACATTTGTGTTCAATTATGCTTGGATAAATACACAATTTGAAATTTTCCTTATAAATCATACAGTTTCTACATTATAAATTTTGTACAAAATCAGAGTTGAAGAATATGTTTGAACCTTGGATAAATACACATTTGTGTTCAATTATTCGTATGTATTTGACARTGTTTAATTTCAACCCATCGTTCACCCTGCTAGTCAGACTTGTGATTAGGGAATGGCAATTTTCCCCATTCCTGCTGGGTATCTGACCTCCCCGGCCCCATCAGTAAATTATTTTTCAAAAAATACTGTTCATTAAAAATTTTGGGGATTTGGGTCCCCTGTGGGAAACTTGACTCTATTGGGAATCGGGGATGGAAGACAACTTTTATCCCTGGCAGGGATAGGGGTCAGGAGTAAGAATTTATTTGAAAATTGGAGTCAATGATGGGGAATATGATCCCCGCCCTGGTACCATTCTTACCTGTGACCCGGCAATCAGGTCACAATTCCAGTTCATCAGGTCAATTTCTAATATACTATGTTATAAAAGCCCGCTGACTTGATCAAGAACCCATTAATCTGATGGTTGAACCATTGATTTGTCTAACCCGTTGAGTGGCTTATAGGTTGATAAACTTTGATAAATGACCCTAGACCAGCTAAAATTCTGCACTTGGATCATAAAATATTTGGAGTTTGCTAAGAGTAAGATTAAATCAAGGTGAAATATCATGGCCCACAACAAAGATAACATTATCATGGTCTGATGGAAACCACTTACCAAATCCTCTTTCAAGATCAGCTTTGATGCATTAGTGTGGGGGCAGCACGGTTGGGTGGCAATTGGTATATAGAAACTCTTAGGCCTTTCGCTTTTCGGTAAGTTATTTAGTCGGGTAAATGCACTTATCCGAGTAAATGTTTTCCAGAAAATACTTATCGAGTATGTGCATTTACCCATGTTCTTTTATTTCCCAGGTAAATAAGGCAATGACCGTTTTAGCCATAAAAATCTATTATTAAAAAGGGTATTTTTGTACCATTCAAGTGTTGACAACTTTCCACCCATGTAGAATTTTTGTGCTATGGAGCTAATTTTTCATTCTAAAAAGAATGTGGCCCTTGGCAAGAATTTTGTAACCAAACGCTCTAATGTTATTCATTCTTGTCCATTCTTGACTTTCATCACTTAACTCGGATAAGCGATTCCAGGAAAATAAAGTTTCCCTGATCACCACATAAATCTGAATAAAGAACATGGGTTTATTGGTCATTGGGAACCAAAATCCTATTGACCAACTTTTCCCCTTTTCAAAATCCAAAAAAAAAAAAAAAAAAAAAGAATGCCCCCTTAATTGAATGCCTGGAAGATGTAACGAACCCCTTGAGCTTGAAATAGTCAAGTAGTTGGTGTTCTGTTAAGATAGAGACATAGAGTGATAGTCTTTTAAAATAAGTAGAGAATTTCCCCAGTAGTTAATATATTGAATGTTGCAAATCCTAACTCACGTATCTAAGCTATTTTTCAGTTTTTCAGTTAATGAAAAGCAAATTTGATCTTCACCGGCTGGCCAAGCCTCTCTATTGCATTTAGACCTGGCAATTGGGTTGTGTGGGTTAGATTAGGGTTGGGTCATGGCGTTTTCGGGTTGATTTTGGGGTTGGGTCATGTTTTGGGCTAAGTTGGTAAATTCTAGAACCTGACCCTAATTGTTTGGATTAGGGTTGGCCCATGGGTCAATTTGGGTCAACCCTAAAAATAACTTCAATATCAGAAAATAAAGAAAAAGACATGAAAATGCCAAAATTAAAGAAATTATCCTTAAAATTTCAAACTCAAGAAAATTTTGATAATTCAAGTAAAAATTAAAGACTAAATGGTAGAGATTAAAGAGTGAAAACTTTTAATAATATATAAATAGTCCCACTTGAACTTGAAAATCGGGTCATCAGATTGACTTGTGACCTAATCCAAAAATACTGGGTCGGGTGAGGTTGTGTAGCTAGACCTGAGACCCTAACCCTGTTTTTTCAGGTTGGGTCATTTTTTTTCCAGGTGTATTTGCATCATATTACTACCTGAACTCTCTCAGGTATAGAACAATATAGGGTATACACCCCCCCCCCCCGGTTGTGTAGTCCCGTGAAACAAAAAATAATAAAAGAAAAACACGAGTATATCTAATTGAATCCGAACCATCTGCAATGCTATGGGGGTTTTATAGCCTATATCCCATTATTTTGATTTTTGATGACTTCCCCAAAGGGATCGTTCCCTGATGTTGGACCCAGCAAATCTGAGTCTTGGAGGGGTGACTGAATAAGGAGCTATAACCTTCAGGATTTTCTTGCATGAACACTAACCTTCACGTTTGTCGGCCTGAGGTTTTACTTTTGTTTTAAGCAATGTCATCTATGGTATATCTGCAATTGTGTTGTTCTCCAATATTGCCATAATAATCAAATTCATGCAGCCTTATTATCCCAGCTATATGGGATCGTCTACATGAATCTGGTTTTGCCATCCCATTCTGAACAGGATAATGTTGGCTGCCAATTTGATGCAATCCTCCTTTATCCGGCTTGGGACCAGCAGTTGAAAACAAGCTCAAACTGGCGAAGTAATGTTCTTCAATATTACACACTTGATTTTTCTTGGGGTACAATCGAGTTAATCAAGACTAAATACATTGAACTGTAGCCCCATGGACATCACAATAATTAGAAGCTACCACCTTAGAATGCAGAAAAAGTTCTATATGTTATGATTGAGAGAGAGTCAGAGACAGAGACAGAGAGAGAAGCTACGAGAGAATCATCTCACAAGGATTACTTGAATTGAGTATTAACTGGAAGGCGCTATCATCTTTTGAACTCAAATCGTGTGCAGCTATTAACTAGGTTTGCTGCATCAGTCTGGAGGCTCAGTTAGACTTTGGACTAGATTCTTTTAAGTAGGGGTGGTAATGTTCTCCTTGATAACCAACCAAACCCGGAGTCTTGGATCATCCACAAGATCAAATTTTCTAGACAGAAACTTCAGCTTGTGAAGCACTTTTGACTGGGTTTGTTGCATCTTCAGCTTGGATCTGATGTACGTATTCCATGTCGCTTGAAGAACTCTCTAAAACCATATGCACTGACATCATTGTTGAACTGGAAATCAATGGAGAAATCAGAAAACGTATCTCATCAATCCCATTAACTGAAATCATATAGTAGTACATGAGAAATTACAATAACTCATAAAAACTTTATTAATCAACAAATTTTTGTTTGTCGTAAGCATATGTCTTAGAAAGGTGAGCATAAAGACCAACTGCTAAGAAATGGCTCTGTTTTTTCTGAGAGGAAGCTTTGCCATTCTATGATTCTGCTAGTCCTTCATAAATAGTTCCTTGTTCTCTCTCCTTTTCTATTTCCCCCAACCATACAAAATCACCACCATTTAGATGAAGTAATTTATATTCTAGTGATTATAATTACACAAGTAACTAAAAGACTTAAAAGTTACACTGCATGCCTGCAACCATCACAAGGCAATGTGCCTTGTCTTATTGCAAGTTCAACAGTGAAGTACCATCTCAAGCCAGTGTCCTCCCAAGACCCCAGGATAGCTAGGACGGTAGGATGGACATTGGGTAATGGCCTTTCTTTATGAAAAGCATTTGGCCTTTGAAAATAATAATGAAATTGTATGCATGGTGCAATCCCAAATTTGGGTATTGCAGTGTGAACTAGAACCGGAACATGCCTCAGGTTTACTGTATGTAGTAATGTTGTAACAACTGGACCAGACTGGGTGATTGAACGAGTGACATAATGACCCAGTGACCTTTCTGGGTCCTTGTTAAATAATAGTTTCATGGTGTGAATGGGCTAACTGTCCAGTTCCGCGACCCAATGAGCATAACAGTTTTATGTCCAGACTGAGTCTTACTACATTGGTATGTATAGACATAAAAGGACTCGGTATTTTTTTGAGAAATAGGTTATGTGTATCCAGTGGTCTTATTTCAAATAACAAAAGAGTAAAAAGTAATGTACCAGAGCATGAATGATTTCAAATGAAAGGGAATAGAACCAAAAGAACTTAAAAATATTTAATGACTACAAACAAGATTCAGAACTTACAGGCATCACTTTAACTGAGTACTTGGTAATGTTGGGATCAGCAATTCTTCCTTGGTTAGCTGCCTATACCAAAATAAAAAGGGTTCTTATTTGTAAGCTTACATAAGCAATGACACAAAACTAACATGGGAATACATATTTGAATCAGGGTTAACAAACTAAGACAATCCGCAGAACAATTCTCAAGAGAAATTTGCACAATAGTTAATATAGAAACAAACCCAGCAACTTCACTTTGTAAAAGATTTTGAACACCATATTCACTTTCAACTCTTAAAGATGCTTTCCCCTCCCTTTATTCACTATCTTTATTGAAAAATGAGCCAATTTCTTCTTTCTACTCAGTTGCGGAGGGAGTGTCTTGGAATTTAGGTTTTAGAAGAGGTCTAAGAGAGGCTGAATGTGTATCAATCTCTAAGTTTCCGCTCATTCTTGACTCAGTTGTAGTGTCTCCCTCTACCCCAGATGAAAGAATTTGGATTCCAGACCCTAAAGGCTCCTTCTCTTGTGCCTCCTTTCATTCTCTGAATGCTCAAAGCTCCTTTAAGGTCTTCCTCTCCAATAAGTGAGGTGTGGTGCAAACCAGTTCCCTTAAAAGTAGAGGCTTTTTGTTGGGAGGTCTTTCATGAAAAATCAACACTTTAGATATGCTTCAAAAGAGAGAAAAATGCTTGTCTATCCCTAAACTGGTGCACACTCTGTAAGGCAAATGGTGAGACTGCTTATCACATTCTAATCTCCAGTCCATTTGTAACCACGATCTGGGAGAGTCTCTTTGACCTCTTCGGATGCAGGTGAACTCAACCTACAAACTTAACTAGTCTGTTTGCAGATGGCTTTTTTAGGTGGCCAAGGAAAAGAGGCAAAATTTTATGGAGATGCACTAAGGATGTTGTTGTTTGGACAGTTTGGGAAGAAAGAAATGCAAGACTCTTCAAAGATGAGAGAAATCTGGAGGCAATCGTAGATTATATCCTTCTAAGGGTGATTCATTGGGTTAGAAGAGCTGGGAAGGAGGAAGGTGGATATAGAAAAGCTGGTAAAAAGACAGATAGTGGTAGGAAAAACTTTGGGTCTATTTTTCCTGGGAGGAGAAGAGGTGGTGAGTAAGGCTATAGATCAGTACGAAAGGACTAGAAGAGAAGAGCAGGACAAAAGGGCTACTTGGGGATTTTCTGAAGAAGGGGAGGAAGGGGAAGGGAAATTAGCAGGCTCGACAGAAGAAAAATAGGACTGCTGGGGGGAGTGTCACTATCTCAATATGCTTTCAGATGGTGGAAGGGGGTGGCACTGGGGGTTCTCATGTGTGTATGGGCCAACTATAGAAGGGAAAAGAGGGGAGTTGTGAAAGGAGTTGGAAGAGGCAAGGAGAGGTTGGGGGGCCTTGGTGTTTGGGGGGGGATTTCCTAAAAGTTCTCAGGCTTCTTGTGGAGAGTGTTCACATCTATGCTTGGGATCTCTGGTTTTCATCCAATTTCAACAKCAGAGATTTTCTCTAATTGGCCTAGGCTGAGTAGGAGTAAGAAGGTGAAGGTGTTATGAAGTCGTATCCCATTTGCAATTTGCTGGAACATATGGAAGAAGAAGAGGAACAGGACGATCTTCGAAGACAAAGCTTACAGGATGGACAAGATGATTGTGGCTGTGGGCAGCTCTGTGACAGATTGGGTGCTGATCCTACTAGACTTTTGACAGCTAGAAAAGGTGGACCTCGGAAATAGATTAGGAGAGGTCTTGGGTTTTCAAATATGTAATGTGAAGTTTGTTCGTCAGTCTTAAGTTGGTCTGTGCAATCGGGTGACAACTTGCCACCCTTATATGTAATCTCTTTTTGTTTCTTTAATAAAATTTCTTATTTACTAATAAAAATAAATCATTGGGTTAAGTCCCTGGAAGTGTTCTCTCTATTTTCCTTTGATGACATAAAAAGGAATTGGAGGGAAATGGCCTATTCCTCTACAAAAAAGAATAGAATAGTACAGGTTTGGGAGCCACCACCGGAAAGTTTTATAAAACTCAATTTTGATAGAAGCTGCTTTGGTAACTCAGGCCCTTCAGGCATAGGAGGGGTTTTCAGGGATAAAGAGGGAACTATCTTAGCTCTATTTTCGGGCCCTATTGCCCAAGGAGATTCAACCAAGGCTGAACTGTCTGATGTACTGTATGGGGTCCAATTAGCAGAAAAAATAAATTTCAGAAGGAGACTCCCAATTAGTAGTAAGCTGGCTAAAGAACAGCAAGAAGACAGCTTCGACCTACCGAGACTTGGTAAAGAAAATCAAGTGGCACCTGAGAGGCGTGACAGTATCTTTTCAATGGGTTCCAAGGGTGGCTAATGGGGTAGCAGACTCTCTAGCAAGACAAGGGGTTGTTAGGAACAGGTATTTTGGGCTCAGCTGTTTTAAGGAGAAAATGTTAACCTGATCCTGCGGGTAAGGGTTGGGCAGGGAATGATTGTATAGGACTTAATTGTTACACATGCTTTAAGGGGTACTCATTCCCTGGTTATATCACCTTCTGTATATTCTTGTTTATATTATGAAATATTTTCTGTTACCTATCAACACCAGCTTGGGGGTGGATGAAGGGGTGGCTATGAGCTATTCGAGCTCGGCTCAGCTCGGTTGAAACCGAGCTTCGAGCCGAGCTCGAGCCTAATAAAGCTCGGATAAACAAGAATACATAATAATAATAATAATAATAATAATAATATAAAATTATAGAAAATAATATATATAATAAAAATAGTATATATAATATTTTTATTTTTATATATAATAATAACTAATTATTATAATTCTTAATTTTTTTAAATATCAAATAAAAAATATTTTTTATATGTAATTTTTTTATTTTTATAAAAAAAATTTCTCAAGTCGAGCTTGAGCCAAACCGAGCTCGAGCTCGAATAGCTAGCTATTCGGCTCGGCTTGGCTCAAACCCACCCTTAAAACTGAACTTTGATAGGAGTACCCAAGTCTAGGGGTGCTCATGGTCGATTAACTTTGATAGGAGTACCCAGGTCTAGGGGTGCTCATGGTCGATTAACCAAACCATTAGCACACTTTGGTTCGGTTAACCGTCTTTTTGGTTTTCTAAAAGTTTGAACTGAACCTGACCACATCAACCGATTAACCAGTTGACCAGTTCAGCTTTTCGGTTTTATATATATTTTGATAGATAACAAAGACTTTTATTAAAAGATAATAACAGAAAAGGTACAAAAGGAGGGGTAAAAACTCTTAACCCTCCCAAGAAAGCAATTCAGATTACAATGTCGCCCAGAAGAAATTAACTCTTCCCACCCCTTGTTTGGCCAATGAATCTGCCAAGGAGTTGGCGCACCTCTTTATCCATTGAAACTTGACTTCCATATTTTGTACGAGATGTCTAACTTTCTTTTTTTCATTCAGAAACTTCCACAGACTAGAAGTATCCTTCATCAACCAATTTATAGCCAACTTAGAATCACCTTCCACTATCAATTTTCTGATATTTAACTCTTGAGCTCTTTTTAACCCTTCCAAGACAGCCAATATTTCAGCTCTAAGAGAGTCCCCCCATCCAATAGAACCAGAATATAATGCGATAATTCGACCTTCATCATCCCTGAAGGCTCCCCCTATACCCGACAGACCTGGATTTCCTTCACTACTACCACCAAAGTTTAGTTTAGTGAAACCTGAAACTGGAGGGGACCAAATTGGGTGAAATACATATTATAAATATATATAAGTGAAAATTAGGGTTTAMCCCACCTCATAAATTTTTATTTGTTTTTGTATTTTATTTTGCAAAACCCCCACCTATGACACACATACCCCCCCCCCCTGTATTGTGTCAAATTCCCCCACCTGTCACTGTTACAAACAGTGACAAATTTAAGAGGTGGGGGAATCAAAAATTTACCCTATATATAATATAAATACTATAAAATATATAATATATGGTCATCTACTAAAACACCCCTACAGTTCGAAACTGATTTACTTAATCAACCTTCCATTAGATGGAAGTGGGAAATGACAGTTTTGACCTTAATGTCCATTAAACAAATGTAATTAAAAGAAAATAAAAATAGAAATCTTGTTCTTGCCCCTGATAAGATGTGGGCAATCACTCCATTTGGTCAGTTTTCTTCTTTGTTGAAATAATTTTTAGGGGTACTTTTGGAATATATAAACATGGGCCCATTCCCTTAAACATTTTCCACTCAGTTTAGATGGTCACAACCATTTCTAGATAGCAATAAGAATGGTTCTTAACAGAAGGTTGATTAAGTAAATTGGTTGCGAACTATAGGGGGTGTTTTAATAAAATGCAAACTATAGGGTAGGTTTTAGTTTTAGTAAATCCATGAAACAACAAGGAGTGTTTTAGTAAATGATATCGGCCAGTTTGGTTAACCACGCTTTTTTATAGGTTAATCAACAACCAAACCGATCACTTCGGTTAACCAGATTTTTTTATTTGGTTCAGTTTTCGGTTTTTGAGGAGAACCCCTACCGAGGTCCATCTGGAATAGGGGGTAATAAGGGATGAGGACGGGATTTTAATTGCACTGTGTTCAGGTCCAATAGGGGAAGCAGATTCTATCAGGGAAAAGCTTAAGACAGCAGTGTTTGGGGTGCAAAAGGCTAAGGAAATGGGAATTGATAGATTGATTATTGAAGGTGATTCAAAAGTGACTATTAGCTGGTTGGCGAAGAGCAGTGGAGCTAATTGGATCTACAAAAATGAAATCAGATGCTTTAATTGGATCTCAAGAAATAAGCAATTAGAAATACAATGGGTACAAAGATCAACCAATAGTTTGGCCGATGGGTGAGAGAGCAGAGGCTATGCTCACAAATTCTAATTGAAAAGTAAACTGGTAACCTCTTGTTGCACCTGATTATTTCTTAATTATGAAATTCCTGTTTTCTGTTGCCAATCAAAAAAAAAAAAGAAAAAGAAAAAAAACTGGAAGTCAACCAAATAAAGCAGCACAAAGTTGTATCTCAAAACAAAATTTTCTAAAATAGAAAGGCAAAGGCTTGTACAATGAGTAAAGTCTGCCTTATCTACTAGTCATTTGAATGCTGCCTTGTATTAGTAAGCTTCACTTCAACTAGTTGAAATTCAATTTAAGTTGTTTCAACCACCTGATGGTTTTGGAGGCACTGCTTTTAAGAAGTACAGCAAGTAAAACCAGGATAAATAAAGCCAAAGTGAAACAAAGCAAGCAACCTACTTGTTCAGGGCTGTGAAATATTTCAATGAAAGGATAGTCTTTCTTTTGACGTGCTATACAGAAACCAGGATATTTTGGACATTCAACCTGCACAACACCATAGAATAAACTCAGGATTAAGGAGGCAAAGGATAAACGACAATGGTCAATGAAAAGACTCCTGAACTACATAGTGTTAAAGGTATCAAAATTTGCTTATAGTACATATTAAATTTCAAAAACAGAGAAGAGAGAGAGAGAGAAGAAATCAAGCTTCTAACAAACAATAAGTCTACAAAGCAATAGTATCTATATTGCACAATTGGTGACACAATTTAAGGTCTAGATGCCCACATATAGATATCGACATAAACACATACAAGGAAAACAGGGACACAACTCCTCATTTCCTACTCGCACATACATTGGTTGTCTATTTCTTTTTCTCAGTTACTTGGACAGAGACCTACCTTGCAGCCCTTCCCAGGCCAAAATGCCTAGATGTTGCCAAACTGCCTTAACTACACTGAGAAAAAGGCATAGACAACCTTCCCTCAATACTAAATTTAAAGAGGTAAACACCAGTCATATTCAAAAAGAACCCTTTACACCCCGGATCTTGCATATCAATCTGGCAAAGCATATCTCTTGGATTCACCTAATCTGAGCCAAAATGTGCTCCATGCTCTTGGATTCCACCTGATTGTGTAAGCTGAATCATTGCAAATGGAAATGAAGAAAAGCAATGCTGCTTGGCAATTACCGACCAAAAAAATGCTGCTTGGTAATCCTAATACCAGTGGAAAAATAACCACATCAGCATTAATTGAATCTGCAGCCACAATGGGTCCAAAAAAGGCCCACAATATACCACCATCCACAACATAGAAACACAGCACCTAAGATGGCTCTTTAACCTAAATTTTTTTCATAGATAAATAAAGAAAATAATTACCAACTGTAAAAAGATTACAAGAGAATCTTCTGACAAGGAGTCAGCACTCCAATACAGAAAAACAAAAAGCATAACACACCTACTCTACTTTTCAAATATATTACATCAAATAATATTCATTGTACATTGATGGAAAATAAACTCAATGTCTGGTCTCAAATAACACAAGTTTCCTTTGAAAAAATTAATTATAAACAAAAAAATGACAAAGTCAAGGATAAATTCTTAATTAAATTTATTTAAATTGCACTTAATCACAAGAATTGTATAAATCGTAAAATTTATGAATCAAACCACACGAGTCAAACAAAAATCTTAGGGTTTTTGCAGAAAAGGATTTAGGCATAAGATTCAAATTGAAACCCTTGGGATTCATGATTCAAATTGTGAATTGTATCATAAATCATAAGACTTTGACAACATAGTTCAAACATTCTTTTCTCTCTTCTTCTTCTTTCTTTATCTTATCCTTTTTTTCTCTTGAGTTCCTATTACAATTCTGCATCTAAGTGAATCAACTAATAAAAAAGGTCATTACCCAATGTTGGTCCTAGCTACCGCAGGTCTTGGGAGGGATAGACTGGATATGGTCCTAACCTTTGGCATCTTTGCATGGTGGCTGCTCTCAAACTTGAACCAGCATTCTCACACTTGCAGCCCAAGATTTTACCATTACACCAAGTAGTGGCCCCTCTAAGTGAATCAACTAATATTATACAAAATAAATAAATATGTTGATGCCTCACAATTTTCTCCCAAGGGACATGGATTGAAGTAATGAGAAATGCTCAAGGGTCCATAACTTAGCAATGGAGATGGCACTACTAAACATGGCGGAATGGTGGAACAGGATTTATGTAGTGAACCCCATATAGTTTGGACAAGGTTGTGCTGTGTTGAGTTAAATTCCTACCAAAGTCAAAATCTGTTCATATCCTTAAGTTATCTTAGATAAGTATTTCCCTAGTACAGTAGTACCATTAACCATGTGAAATCTTCTTGGATAAGCATATTTCCCAAATACCATTAACCATGTTAAAGCTTCAACAGTTGGAGGTAATGGATTTTCCCATATTTTTGCCATTCCACATTGATCCTACCACCTCTTTATTAGCTTGTTGCAAAAGGTTTTAGTTTGGAATATCCCTCTTAGTCATCTCTCCACAACCTTCAGTCTTTGTTGTACAACTCCAAGGAACTCCTCCAGTAAGATCATACTGTGAGGGTTAACCATCTGAGTAGTGTATTGTTTGTGATGCCAGAGATTAGGCCTGTACCAACTTGCTGCCAAACCATTGCTAAATTTAGTCTTTATGTAAAAACAAGAACAATTCTACCAACATACATGACTTGTATATTACACAACCGTTTTTTCAGAAACCAACACAAAGCAAAAAAAAGGACCTAATTTCCTTTTTTTATTACAAACATTTGTTTGATAGTTTTTTTTATTAGAAACATTAAGGACCCATTTTCGCAACTCACTATGAAATGCATCATTCAGAAGAGAGAAACATTAAGGACCCATTTTTTATTAGAAACATTAAGTAACTGTAAGCTTACACGCATAAATTTTATATGTGGATAAAACTCGGATGCAGCTTCCTCAAGTACTCTGTCAAGATGTTTTGTGTAGTTACATCTACAACAAGCATCCAAAAATAGATCAGGCTTGAGATCACTCTCTATAAGAATTCCTAAAAGGGTTTCAAATTGAAAAACAACAGAAACAAGAAGGGACACAAATCTAATCTACCTGATGGTAAATGCAACAACAACAGGATGACCTTCATGCAGCAGCTGGACAAACTCACGTTCCGAGGTAAAGTGAATAACACGTGAAGGCCCAAGATCCTTTGGATAACCAGTGTAATACCTAACAGCATCAAAAATCAAAATCAGGTCGTCCTCTGTCTTCTACAATAGAAGAACTGAACAGATATAGTTAATCAACAATGCTAAAAGACTCCGATTTCTGAGCTATGAAGGGCTGTCAATGGGTCAAGCAGACCTAACAGAACCAAATCAACCCAATTATATAGGGCCTGGGTATGCAATACATGTCCCAATTATAATTGGGTCAGGAGCGGTTTTGGTCGTTATGAACCAATTAAGACCTGAAGCAACCATATTGGCATATTACAAAGATACCTCCGGCCTAAAAGTTATTTTCTCTTTCAACAATAAAAAGTAAAACCTATTTTTCTGATTTTCCCATCATATACTTGTAATTTTATCATATTATGATGTCCAATTCTGTTGATTTAACAAATAAGTAGGTACTGTAAAACTACAGTTTAAAAGTATAGCTATCACTCATAGTTGGGACAAGGCTTAGATGATGATGATAATGGTGAMAATTGGGTTAGACCCGATAGTCCCGATTACAGACCCTATAGGGTCTGGTTCAAAACTGGTTCTGCACATTTACCTATTGGTTGGGACCAGGTCTACCCTGACCCAGACCAGACCCCACTCATTGACAGCACTAGAGTCATGGGAATCTGCCAATCTGGCACATCTGCCTAGTGTACAATTTTGGGAATGCAAAAGGGGATAACTTGCAAGTAATTCTAAAATTTCAAATTACGGCATATAATAATACAAAGCATACAACTTCTCTTGAGTAAATTAAAAAAAGAGCAACCCATTGCACAAGGCTCCCACCAATGTGGGTCTAGGGAGGGACAGATGCATGCAGCCTAACCCTTGCACATACTGACATACAGAGAGGCTGTTTCCAAGATTTGAACCCTGGTCACCCAGGTCGCAATGGAGCAACCCAACTGTTGCACCAAGACCCACCCTCTCTCTCTCTCTTTAGTATCTTAATTAACAAGAAGGAAATAGAAAGAAAAATAAAAAAGATTCAAGTACTGCCACCAGTAACACTTTACCCCCTGTACAGCAGAAATGCCTTTTCAAAACAACTTTGGGATGGAAACAAGTACTTATATATGGATGCAACATGGGGTACGCTAGTAATTTGTAACTTGGGTGTTGGAGGAGTCTTTAGGAACAATATTGGAGCCATAATAGCAGTCTTCACAGAACCCATAGGATTGAGGGACTCAACAAGGACAGAATTGCTAGCTTTACTCCAAAAACTGAAGTTCACCAGAATGCTGAATGTTATAGATGTGGTAATAGAAGGGGACTCACAGGTCATAGGAGGATGAGTCGACATAGAAGTCAAGGACCATAGCAATATTGACATATATTAGGGAAATCAATCATCTAAGTATGGAAATGAGTGTTATTTGTAATTGGGTTCCAAGATCACCAAATAGCTTAGCAGAGAATTTGACAAAACAAGGGGTAAACAGGGAGCAATTATTTTGAGGGAGGCAGGTTATAGCATTTTAATAGTGAAGTTGTTCTTTATTGCGGGGTTAAAGTATTTAGTGATGGATTAATAGATTAGAGGCACTTTAGATCTTTGTATATATCTATTCTTGTACCCATCTTATAAAAATTGAGTTACCAATAAAAGAAAAGCAAGTACTTAGAGAAGAGATATAATCTTGTGAACAAGACATATATCATAAAAACTTCTAATCAGAAATTAAAGTACTAACAGCTTACTAACAGGGATGAAACTCTAAAATAAAGAGGCTAGGCTAGCCAAAAATTAGGAATATCAAATGGAAAGCAGAGTCTGGAAAGCTCGTACTTGCTTGTTGCACGGAGATGACCCATCAACCTATCGAAAAAGGTGGAATCCCCCATTCTGATTAAGCAATRCTGGAGTCACTCACCTTTAATCACCACACTGCAAACACAGTCGTTTCAAGAATTAGCAGAAATCATTCTAAAGCATTTGAAATATTTCTGAAAAGATAGAACTAGTCCAATGCCAGAAAACAAGAAAAACATTTGTCATTCAATCTATTGAAGAATATCAAATAAAACTAAAAACGTTATCACAAAACAAATTTTTATTCGCACAAAGCTAACGCTCACTCACTGGTTCTTGCTGATAGTTTTGCTGGAGTAAAAGGGTTACTAGAGAGGTCACTGATGGTCAGCGGTAGATGGCCAATCTGCCATGTTTGGGCACAAACCAATCCATAAAATTATATATAGCAGAAATTAAGAAAAAAAAATTATTAGTAAAAAATGGAATGACCTCGTTCATTAACGCAGACCCATCCATCTAAAAAAAATTTCACCTAAAACCTATTCCAAAACTGATGCACAACAGTTCTAGCTGAAAAAATATATGTTAAAAAAGGAATAAAAAAAAGCACCTGTTTCAGTGGAGACGAATGCGCTCTTTGGCGGTCAGTAAATATGGAGAGGTCGGACAGAAGGTATAGAGATCTCGGCAGCAATGGAGAAGAAAAACAGGGTTCAGGGCTTTTAGAGAGGACGATTTCGATTTGACACATATTTAGGGTCCGTTTGGTTTCTGAAATAGGTGCTGGAATCGGAATTCTCGATTCCAACTGTTTGTTTGGCAGGAATGGGATTCCGTTTCTCATTTTCGGCGGAATGAGATTCCCCCATTAAATCAAAACGTTTCTCATTTTCAATTGCGAGCTAAGCTTCCTATAAAAAATAAAAAGTATACATATAAAAATATTTTTTATTTTACATACAAAAAAAATTAAGAATTGTAAAAATTATTTATTGTCATACATATAAAAATAAAAATATTATATATATATATATATATTAATTATTACTATACATATTATAATAAAAAATATACTTTAAAATCTGATCCAAAAGGGAAAACCCTCATTAAATCAAAACTTTTGCATTTATGTTTTAAACAAGTGCTTTTTACTAATTTGTTTAGTAGTTTTCATGACAAAGATCATATATAATTCATACTTTGAGGATGGATGGTATAGCTTTTGCTGCAGTTTTTTGGTAGGCAGTAGGCTTTAGGATTCTTGTGGCCATGCTAATGAGTCAACCTTTTGATGTTCTGTACCCAACCATAATATAGTAATATCCTATTCTACTTGAGCAAAGCCATCTAAATATCAACACTTGACAAAGTTACATACGACTTTGCAACCATAGTTATCTAGATTTAACATTGAAATTTCTATTTCTCCTAAACCCTCCAGAACCCACCATCCTTCAGTTAGCCACCTATCTCTAAATACCTTTTTCAAGTAACAACTCTTTCAGTTAAGGTTGTTAATGGACAACTTTCTGAAATGATGAGATCAAATTTAGAATATAATGCATACAATTGTATTATATGTAAACTCATGGCGCATTGAAACCACACTAAAAGTTGGGAGCTAGCAATGTATAGATTAATGTATAATCACTCCAGTTCCAAATTTGTTAAGGTGGTRGAGGCTTGCTATCCAAGAAGCTTTGGTTCTCCCTTGGGAATTTAGATATCAAAAAATTGTTATGCTTTCTTTTTTTTTTTTTTTTTGATGAATGAAGATTGTTGTGGTTGAAGGCACCCTAAACACTGTAAAATTTATGATATAGCTTTAAAGAGAAGCTCCTTGGACTAATCATTATCTTTACAAGCAAGAAACTTCCAATACCTCCCCACCATATACTCCATGGGTGAAGTGTCCATATTTCTTAAACTGGTTTTCTTTCACTAACATATTCTTAAACTGGTTTGTTTTATTTTAACATAATTTTGGTAAGATTTATTCCCTCAAATTCAAGGGATTTCATTCTATATAACAAGAATTTCTTAAATCAAAGTGAACGCCTTCTTTATTTATTTCTTGCCCATACTTCTGAAATGGGTTAAGAATTTCAAGTGTGCATTTAACTATAGATTCCACTTGGGGTTGTATTAGCAATCCACCTTTAATTCAACTATCCCATTAACTTAGCAGTCTAAAAATTGCTCCTGTGCTGATTGCTGGAAACTCTTTGGTTCTCAAGTCTCCAACTCAAGTATTCTACTACAAAGTTTCACAAGTTTATAGTGCTTTTATACTTTGTAATATCTAACCAATTTAAGTGTTTTCATGGTTTTAGCATTGGCAGATTTCCATTTCAGAGAAAGGATAACAATAACCATTCTAGCTTCATATTGTACTGGACCACTGGTTGATCATTTCTAAAACCAAACCATATTTTGCAAACTGCAAGTGAACCTCTCAATAAGATTCAATTTGAACAAATTCTGCTTGAAGGCAGGGCTGCAAATTATGAGATTGGATTGGATATGCCTCGATTCATTAATATTCAGATTCACATCAAATATTATCTAGTGATTCAGATTGGTCTTGGATTGATTTTGGATTTTGAAAATTGTTCATAAATTAAACTAAAAACAAGTTCTTGATATGTTTATGCCCTAGAGMATTAGAAAGCATGCACCGGTTTCTAGGCTCCTTCAGCTACTTTAAGTTGTTTGTAGTGTCCACATATGCATATCTCCCTAAATTGATATCCATTCATCAACTGATATTGTTTCTGTAGATGGTGGTACATTCTAGCCCCCTGTTTGTGAATATTTAAGAAGTTGTGAATTATGAAATTGGATCATAAACTGACAGAAATTTTTATTTTAGTGAAATTGGATCATATGCCCCTAGTTGAGCTAAGCATGTCATATAGGAGTAATAGGGGCATGGTTTGACTTTATTTTATGTGATGGAAACCCAAGACACTTCTATATTATATTCCAACATCACTAATAGCCTAAACTTAACTCTAAGGAAAAAAAAGGTTCAGGAAATTTCACTAATATCCTTGTTTTTTTTGGTTCTATAATCTCTTTTGAATTCAACTACTATAACAGTGAACAGCCAACAACCCTACTAGATTGTTGGTTGTGACTTGTGTTATGAACTAATAGAAAGTACAGTACGATTTCAACCTCTTATAACTTTGACCTGAAACTGATTTGGGCCTCTTCGCTTTGTGTGTTTGAACTGTGTTGGGGAGTAGTGGATCCTTAAAATGATGATAACGGAAGGGATGGTACAATTGAGACTGTATTGGGGTGTGTGTTGAACTGTATTGGGGACTACATTGGTGTCCTGTATAGAGAAGTGCATGAGTGGGGCCCATTTTAATATTTTTGTATAGGTAAATGTTTATGTGGGACCCACAAGTACCATTTGCATGTTTGAACGTGTTATTGGGTCTTATGTATGACATTTCATATTTGTGTAAGTAGAACTCGTAAGTACGTTTGCCAAACAGTCTTTTGATCTTTCTAGCTTTTAAGAAGATCTTTGAAAGAATTTGCAACCAAAACAGTCTTTGGTCTTTGAAGATCTACTTGTGAAAGCTCACCAGTCTTTGATGGTCATGAGCTTTTAGAATATCTTCCTAAAAAGACTTGCCAAACGCCTCCGTAGTCATTGCTACAAAAGCTATTTCGATAAGGAAAAAAAAAGTTAGTTTCGCTCTACATTATTCTAAATGCCCCACTATTAAAGAGGGTTTCGCAAGTCTTTTTAGGAAGATCTTCCAAAAGCTCAARACCTAAAAAGACTGACGATCTTTCACAGGTAGATCTTCAAAGACCAAAGACCGTTTGGTTGCAATTTTTTTAAGATCTTTCAAAAGCTAGAAAGATCGAAAGACCGTTTGGCAAACATACTTATCAGTTCCTCTTACATACATGTTAAATGTTTATGCGCGGGATTCAAACATGCAAATATTACTTGTGGTTCCCACTTACACATTTACTTACATAAAATATTAAAATGGGTCCCATTCATGCATTTCCCTATACAAGATAACATATTTACACATTGACATATGCGGTTATCACCTACGGGCTCCACTTACGCATTCACCTATATAAAACAAAATAAATGTTCATAAAAGATCATACGGAAGAAAACTATTTAAAAAGGTTTTAGAAATAATTAATAACTAGTTAATGACTAGAATAAGAAAAGCAATAACTAGTTAATAACTAGAAGTTAAGGGTCAACAAAAGGAAATCAATAAAATAAAATTTTAAAGGCGAAGCAGCCTTTAATGAGGAGCATGAATTTTCAGTCCTGCAATGGTCAAAGATAATTAGCAATAGAATTTTATTCATTTCGAGGTCCCTTGCCTTTTATTTTGACGTGTGTCTTTTACTTTTTTACTATTATGTACTAATAAGCAAAAATGTTACAACTCTTGCATTGCATTTTGTAATGCAATATTTTAAATTTGATATATGTATCAAATGAAAAAGGAACCAATGAGAAAATAACTTAAAGTACCAAATAGATTTTTCACTATATCCAGAATTCCCAGGTTCATAAGCTCCTTGAACCACAAGGTAAATAATGGTGAGAGTTCTTGTCTACACACATAATATGCATACAACAATGTAACAACATAGGAGAAAATGGTCCACTCTCAGACCTGAACCTATGTTCTAAACTTCTAAGGTTTGTAACCCTTAGATTTTACCCTTGCACCAGAAATGGTCCATGGTTCTAGATTGTTGTCTACATACGTGTTATCAGCAGTTCTGTGCCTGTATTTGTCCCCTTCGTATGTAGACAACAATCTAGAACCATGGACCATTTCTGGTGCAAGGGTAAAACCTAAGGATTCCAAACCTTAGAAGTTTAGAACATAGGTTCAGGTCTGAGAGTGGATCATTTCACTCCTCACAACACCTTCAGTGGAAGTTCAATATTTTGGGCAGTTATTTAATTAAGAAAAGTGGCTATTGACTTTTTTTGTAGGAAATGAATACAGTCTAATCTAAAACAAGATGTTTTTTTATAATTAAGAATAAATCTATTTAAAAAGAGAGGAGGGGGAAGAGACCCCAATACAAGAGGAAAGTAGGTATCTTTCAATCTAGTCTGAAATCAATACTAAATATAAACTTGGATATCCTTGAAAAGTAACTAGAAAATAGTAATAAAGATGTACAAAATCTCAACTGTAACATTTATTTTGATTGGAAAAGCTTCACTATAGCATTTCAAATGGAGCAACCAATAAACAACCAGGTTGATAGATCTAAACTTGCTTCTCTTGATCATGTAAATCTGATGCAAGTAAATTCCTCCRAGTGGGATTTGAGCTTGTCTTGTCTTGTGAAAAACTTGTCTTGGTCAATAGTATGAGATTTGAGCTTCCCACCAACTACTTTACTCCAACCCTCAATGGAATAAGTCCACCTTTTTGAGAGAACTATAATCGAACCAATTTCATAGAGATTGAGCTCCCTACTTTTTAGATCACCRGTCACTTCCATTGAGTTTTCAAGGCCCATTAACCTTAGTTCAGTTCATGCATGCTATGATCTTCTCACTTTATCTACCTTTCCACTGTACTCCATCTCCTAATGTTCAACTATAGCTAACCAAGTTGAATTTACGAGCCCAAATCTTACAGAATTGAAAAAATTAGACAAACTTAAACCCAATACCTTAAATACTGAACTTTATTTTAGTATATTCATGTTTTTTTCTGATAGCGATTTCCAAACAAACCCTTTGTTTTGTCATTTTTTTGTTGCAG